CCGCTCGAGCGGGCCTTGTTGCGCTCGAGCGGAGATTGCACACTCCCAGTATTTCGTGTCCCTGCAAAACTTCTGCAGGCGTGATTTTTACGCTCGAGCGGGTTTCTTTACGCTCGAGCGGTCGCGCTCGAGCGGGTAGTACTTTTTTGTGTAAGTTCTGGGAGGGGGAAATCTACGCTAGAGCGGACTGGTTTTCGCGCTCGAGCGGATGTACTTTATTCTTGTGTCTTGGCGCTCGAGCGGGCCTTCTTGTGCTCGAGCATTCCTAGTTTTTTTGTTCTTGATGCTCGAGCGTTGTGTTCTCCGCTCGAGCGGAAATGTCGTATATCAGTTGGCAGCTGGGCATTTTAAAATCACTTTTTACATTCTCTCTCTCTCTCTTACTTTCTAAAAAGATATTTTGAGAGCTCCTCTCTCTAAAAACTCCCTTCTCTCTAGGGTTTGATCTAGTTAGAGTGTCTCACTATCCTCCGGCCTTTGTAAAAAGTGTATGGATCGTCGAGGGCTCCATTTTGATCCGTGAATCTTTGATTTTGGAGCATTTTGGTTTTCTTCAACTTCCCCGTTTGAGCTCTAATTTCGAGGTAGGGATATCCTACTCCTTCTCATGAGTTTTGTCTTTGAATTTTAGTATTTTGATGAGTTGGGGGTTGTTGGGTAATTTGAAAAAGTTTGGGCCTTTGTGTAATTTTACAAAAGTTGGGATTTTGTTTATATAAACTTATATACATGTTTGGCATAGAGAAATGAGATCAATATTGGTTTATTGGTGAAAATGGAACCTTAGGGTTGTGATGTTAATTATGGGAAATGCTCTAATTACATTGATAAATTAATTGGTATAATTAATTTGAAGAAAAGAAGAATTAAATTGAGAATGTTAGAATTGGATGTGTATGGGATTAAAGGGTGTAGTTTGATTCGTTCATCGCTCACCTAGTTGAAATGTTGATTATATATCCATTTGGTGCATTTATTTTCAGTATAGAAATAACTGTTTTGGGCTATCGGTGGAGGATAGTCTTGATTGTTGTAAACACTGCATGATTAGGCAAACTAAAACTAATCGATTGAGTATGCTATTGAATATAGCAACTGGAATAATACATTAATTCTACGTATTGATTGATTGTATATGATCTATGTTTATATACATGTGTTGTGTGGGAGGAGAT